GACTTTTTTTACAGATTCACCGAGAAACACTTGTTCGCGATCTAAAGACACTCGTCTCCGGCTAGTTTTTGGGGGCCCCATGCAATAATTACATTCAAGTAAAGTCAAGACTCAATAAAATACAAGATTAGAAAGTAAAAGCACCTAAAGGCTGGTTTAGTGAGACGTATTGCTCACTATGTTGGAAATACTTTTTAGACACAGTAACTCCCTCTTATTTCAATGTCCCTTTCAAAGATAGCTCTCCTTACCTTCACCGTTGTTTGCCATTCTCCCCACAAAAAGAGTGTAAATAGTTCAAACATTTCAGTTCCTAATCTGTGACATGAAATAATATTTTTTTTTGTGTGCCCGCTCCTTGCCGTTTGTCTGCTTCCACCAACGAGAAGTTTGTCTTGAAAAGATGGCTGCCTATCTGCGCCAGCAAAACATTTTGAGTTTTCCCGCTTTCAGGAGTGACAATTTCACTTATTATGACTAGAAAGCATATTAAATATTCCGCCTGAAACACACGTTTCCTGAAACACACGTTCCAACAACCAAGTTGACGTATTCAGGAGATGAAGTGAACTGTTTTAATTCGCACTCTTACATAATTACAGGTAGAAAATAGTTACATATTCCTGATGATGCTAACTTGGTTAGCGAAACGCGTGTCGAGACAAAATTTTTGTTGTTTGTACAGAGATAAAATTTGTGGCAACTCATCTTTTGATCAAATCCATATCTCTCATATTATTTACGTGTTTCAATATTAAATATGATCTTTCAGTATTGTATTGCATTATTTAATTATATTTTGTTGTAATTTTACTTTTTTACATTACATTGAGTTACAAAAGCTTCAATCTGAAAGTGTCGCTATTGAGTTTTAATACTATAAACAATATTTAATGTATAATAATAATACAACACGTATACTTACAGTATTCAGCGGCGATGTGTCCAATCTAACCTATTTGATTATCGAGACAAACATTCAACTTGATGAATGTAGACGGTTCAAGGGGTAGTTTCCAAATTAGGTAACTATACTCCGATTTCCTGTTCACAAAGTGTACCAGAAATGATTTTTCATTTTGATTAAAAAAAAAATCTTACTGAAAAATCTACATCTTCATTTTCAAGTAATATAATATATCGTTCAAAATAATTTTGAGATCTCAAGCAAAGTATTCGTGACCCAACATCAGATAATGCTGTTTCGATCCACCATAGGTCTCGTTGGCATTAGCCTCAACCATGACTGTATTGCCATTGTCATTGTCCTTGAAGGACAATGACTATGTAAAGGCAATATCTCTCCTTACGAAAATGTTATCGACAAAAGACTTCAATTCACGAGTATCAGAGATAAACGAAGCTTCCCATGTCGAGCTTCGACAACAACCGTTGAACGATATCCTTCCTCTGCTTTCATTGCTGCTCTCGCTGTAAGACAACTGGTTGAAACCAGATTTCAAAAACGGAGCATTCATGGTACAACACCAGATAGCGCTGTTATACATCGCATCAGCGGTACTAGGTTGAACCATGAACGTATGGTTGCGTTCAACTGTACCTAAATGACAAGTATGAGGTGCCATGCGGCACCTGAAATTAGTCCGCGGTAACCCTTGCCTTTTGTAATAGTCAACTGAAACGGGAGCTCAATCCAGTGGTGTTATGCGATCGGTGTCGAAGGATGAATGGTGCCTTTCCCCTATACTCGTGGAAACTTAATGGACCGCATCTACAAACAAAAGGAGGAGGACTCTTCGAGCAACACCTCTGATTCTCGATTAGTTCAAGGCTTACACAATAAGTGGGCGTCGGTGGACCTTACAAATTGTATGGGAGAGTTTGATATTACTTTCAGAAAGTCCCTGGGTCTATAGAGGAAAGATCATGGGATTGGTAGGGAGGTTCGCAGAGAGTTAATTTACAACAAAAAATATATAATTATCTGAAAAAGGATCAAATACACTACGTTCCAATACTTTCGTTGAATGAATTTTGAAACAGGTTAAACTAAAGACAGCTGGTGAGGGAGGAAATCTTCATTGAATCAGCGTACCTTACCTACGATAGTCAGGAACCGCCAGGGATGTGAAAGATCTAGTGGGAGCCTGCCGAGCAGACATATCACAGCTCATAATTGGCTGTGATGCCAATGTACATCATCTAATCTGGGGGAGCACTGACACCAACGAAAGAGGTGATCGGTTACTACATTTTATTATGGCAAACAAGAAGATGATGATAGACCGACTATTAAGTAATACATTTATAAGTAACTATGTTGGAAGGTGTCTGATGAGAAAAATTGTTCGGATCGTCGATACATCAATTTTCATACCTTGATTATATCTTATTGAAACCCCCGGAAAACAAACTGGGAGCCAAACAGATCTGAAGACTTTTTAGACCAGATGGGTTTCATAATAAAATATTCTGCAGACTTAGAGTGTGAAATATTCTTAAAGGGACCTCAGGCCCCAATAAATGATCTAAAAAAAATATACGGGAGAGTACACAAAAAAGGAGAGTCTATAGAAGATCTCCTCCTGGCCACTTTCCCTTGTCAGAAATTATTAATCTAACACCGAAGTCCTGGACAGATACCAAACTGAGGGCGCTTCAAAGAATGTCCGAGAGGATTTGCTGGTAGTAAATGAAGTAGTAGATTTGGAGAAAATGAAAAGAACTCATTCCAACATCATGAATCGCCGGAACCAGATGGCAGTTACCAATAATTTAGGGAAAAGGACTGGAAATAAAAAAATTTGTTTAATTTCGAAGCAAGTTTGGTATTGGGATAAATATCAGAAAACATAAGAGATTGATTATGTCCATCTTCATTCAGATACCTCAGTTTCATGTCTTGTACATTGAATACATTAGAACAATTACCTGACATGCATATTACGGACAAAGCACTGGCTACCAGATCACTGCATCGAGACCAATATGCGTACATATCGGGTGTGTCGACGAAAAAGACTTTATGCCGGGTCACGGAAAAAGCAGAATATGCTTAAGAAAAAAAAACACTTGCGTCCCTAGAATCAATCATCCAGGGTCGAGGACAAGAGGAATCGACGGCACAAGCTGCTGGTCACTGCAAGTTTGGAGGAAATTTGGTATACATAACCATTATGGAAAAAACAGTAGTGGCTTGAGTATCAAGGGGTTTTCTTTGCGGAAGTTTTGTCCCCACTTTCACGAAAACTTGTAATGAACGAGTTAATACGTATTCTGGGCCGCAACAGACACAAAGTACTGGGCTATGCAGACGACTTAGTCATCCTAATTCAGAATAAATATAATATAGTAGTGCTCTACACCATGGCAATTGAACCCATATGAATCTATGGTCTGGTGGCCAGAGATGAAACAAAGTGTTGATTCTCATTTTTCATGATGATCTCCTACCACTTAGTAACGGCTACATTCATCAATTTATTGTATATAACCACTCTAACGGCTGCATTGGATACACTCCTTGATCCTTCCTACTCCCCAGTCTCGAATGACTGGAAAACTCATCGAGTTATATGGAACAGAAATTTTGGAATATGAGGAGGGACGAACATCAAACATGTTCTCGGATCACAAGATATCGAAATACACAAACTTCGCCATTAAAGTCTTAAACCGCGGAGAGTGGATAATTAACAGTCATTTTGAGAATTTGGAGCACAGACGGGTTGAAAACCGAACATGGGACGAGAGTTGGAATTTAATGTGCAGGGAGACATTTTTATTTCAGTTACCTACTCGCTCAGTACACGTCAGTCTTCCAGGCTGAAATGTATGAAATCGTTCAATGCGCAAGAAACATTGATGTGAAGCCTCAAAGAAATGAACGAATCGATACTTTCACAGACATGCAGGCTGCTCTTGGGGCAATGATGAATCCCAAAGTGACATCGAGACTGGTCTGGGAATGTGATGAACAACTGAGGAAATTAGCATGGATGGATCATCAACTCTCTATATATAGGCCCTGTAATAGCCGGGATAGTGCCAACATTTTTGGTACGGAACCAGATTGGAAAGTAGGTCTACAAGAAACATAAAGATCACCGGGAGAACATATCCTGGAACACACACGGGGAAACCTCTGTTAAGAAACCGCCCAAGAAGAGAACTGAAGAACTGCTTCAACAAAACAGGGATCGAATCAAATCAATTACAATGTGCATTCATTGAGAAGACACAAAAACAAAATAGGGCCTATACAACAGAGACATTATATGAAACAAAGGGTCATATTTTATGCGAATGGATCACATAAGGACAACAATTTATGGAAAATTCAAATTATACACAAAAGAATACATCCAGCAAGGGACCTGTACAGGGAACAAGATTCTTGTAATGGGTGTCATGAGGCTGCAGTGCTTTCCGGAGACTTCGAATGAATGGACAAGTCAGACGGCTTTCAAGAAGTAGAAAAACGCTACGGGATTGACAGAAGATTCAATCTACGAATGCAAAAGATGAACGAGGATCCTCAATGCAGCATCGATCTCCAAATATTTCAGTTTGTATTTTTTTCAAAAATTGTTCATCATGTCTAGTAGTAATTTTAATATTTCAATTTACAGACCTACTTTACAATGAATCACACGAACAAAATTTAAACTTCTCATAAGGACGATCAGCTTCTGCCAAAGTTTGTAAACTGTTATTAGGATATCCTCAACAAATCTGAAAAGTTTTTATTTTTATGCTGAAAAAGTTAATCAAAAATAAAGAAGATTTTTCAAAAATAAGGTATTTTTTTCTTACAGGAGCGAAATTTACTCGAACAGAAGATGCCATGACATATGAAAACCGAAACTTTGTGAATAACTAATTTGGGATCTTTCATTCAAACATTTTATTGAAAACTATTGTTTTTGAGTCTATTAATCTACAACTTGATTCATATATATGGAAATAAGACAATATACATCTTATAAAAAAAATTATATAAATGAAACACAACATTTATTAACAATTATTTTGCGTATTTTATTGTAAATGCATCTGGTACATTAACATTATAACAGGTAAATGATTTTTGTATTGTATTAAGTAGTCAATAGGTGTTCCAAGCGATTATGTGCTGAAACACAACAGGCAGTGCTATACGGTACGTATAAATGTATATATGTTTATTTGAATTTATTTTCTCGTTATATATGAGTCATGAAGATCACTGGTAGCAAAATTTTGTCAACCTACATGCGTACGATAGACCTTTTTTTCTTTCATTTTCAAGGATTTTCAGTGCTATGGTCATTAAACCTCATGTTTGTGCATAACGTTTTGATAATATTTTGAGTCACACGAAAAGGATTATGGTTATTCACGGTATCGTCATGAAAGAGAAGAAAATTTTGCTTTCTACTTCTCCATCTTTATACAAGATATGTCGTAAACTTCTGGAAAAAGGAATTGAGTTCAAAATAAACTCTTTACAAAAATGTGTAGATTGGACACATAAATTTATGTCAGATACAAACTGGAGGAAAAATCCCATTCGAAACAACTTTTTAATATATCGACAATTAATAACATTAAAACCAATTTTTCCCATTCAATTAGTAAGTCGTTCAAAATAAAATGAAAACTAAATGTTTCATATGTAAACCAGATATAAAAATGGACGATTAGTCATATTCGTCTTGAGACAACATGCATTTTCTTTATCCATAAAATGTTAGGAGTACAACTCGACTGGAAAAAATTGCCATATGTTGTTACGGTTTCAAAATCACTACCTCAATTTTAAGTAAACCCCCAGTAGATATAATGGAGATAGGGAAAGTCTATAAAATTCCACATAGTTCATAGTTAACTTAAGATACAACAAAAATAATTTATTTCGTATTACGATTTATTATGACCCTGTATAAGTCAGGAATATGAAACGAGTCTTCGTATCTTCTTCAGAAAGAAAACGTCTCTTCCTTCATTTTTTGGTTTTGGACCAGACACGGGAAGAACATCGCAATTTTGCGGATTTTAAAGAAGGTTTCAAAGTATCCCTGAATCGAAAATTGATTTATCTCAAGGGAGATAATCAATTATCTACTGTCGTAGGATTTATGTAGGAATTACTCGAAACTTTCAAATTGAAGTTTACCTTGTCGAAGAACTCGGACATTTCAAAAGGCCACACTCCATCTCAGGTATGAACAAACATTTTGTGTTTTATTGATACGACCTTCCTGCTTGCAAAAAATTATGTTCAGACAAGTATGAATTTTTAGGCCTTCATTATCCATTTGCCTGTTCGTTGCTAACTGATAACGCCCTTAAAATCTCCCCAACTTTGAGAAAAGCGGTTGGCGAATCTCCACTTCTTGGACACCTAGATGACTCACCACTGTTAGTAGCGACATAAGAGCGGATGATCGTAAGCCTCATGTCTCAAAGAAGGTAATATTGTTTTTTTTTATCGTTCATTTCGGTCAGAACGGGACGCATTAGCATCAAAGGAATAGCACTACCAAAACTGTCAGCGCTACTGCGAAACCCACTTCATCTAGCTATAAAGTACCTACTTTTACTTAGTTTCGATTATATGTATTAGTTTAGTGTATTGTGGTGAAATTTTGAAACCTTTGCTACCTTTAAACAACTGTAAACTGATGGTATGCATACTAGAGGTTAGATAATTCATCAGTTGAATTAGACAACGAGGAAATCATTGTGACAAAATCCTTCATTTTAATATCATTTATTTTTCCTGGTGAATGAATCAAATTTTGTAGATTGGTCACGGAAGCTAGAACTGACAATCTTCGTTACAATTTTTCTTTACCTTCTATCATTGTTAAATAAACTGTTTTTCTTTATATTTGACCGACGCTCTCTTTCCCATAACTTTCATCAATAAAAGATTCGCAAATTAATTTACTCCTTTCTTCTTTCTTTATACCCACTTCCGTCTCCACTGTTGAAAAGCTGGTAGGGCATTTGTGGAGGTAATAATGTTTGAAAGTAATTATTTCAATTGGGTTTTTCTTTTTGTATATATCTGAAAGAAACTTCTGTGCATGATGTATACATCTTTGAGATTTCATTTTGAACTTTCTTCAGAAGTTTCCCACAATTTTTGTATGAAGATATAGAAGTAGAAAGTCAAAAAACTTTTTTTCGAAAAAAAAAATCCATCTCAAAAAATGAACTCATTTCAATAAAAAAAACACTGATAGATTGACGATTAGACGTAATATTTGGTTTCGCTTTTAAACTTGAATGTAAATAAAATAACTCGAAATATTTTGACATGCAATATGTAAGATATTCTACTTTTGAAAACGTTTATATATAAATTATCATAAAAGTTATTATTATATTATTGTGCATACGTTACTTTCCTCAAGAAGCTTGAATGTATTCAAATAACACTTCATTGTGAGATTTTCACCTAACAGACTACAAAACCAGGACACGTGTTTCACTATACAGTAGCTTCTACACGTGTTCAGCACTAGTGAGTGTGAACAGTCTCAAAAAAATGAAAAGAAAAGTAAAAGTTTGGTGTGAATCAGCTATAAAAAATAGAGGGATTAGTGATATTCACATTGAGAAAATATGCATTTTTTTTCAATCTATTGAAGGTGAATGTCAAATATACTTCCTTAAAGTGAAAATCGTGTCATTTTTCATAAAGGTGAGTGTAGTTCCTTTTATGGGTTTTTCACTTTCCACAACTCGACAAATATTAAATTTGTAATGGGGACAGAGGCAGATTTTAGCATCCGAAAAATGAGTACCTGTAGATATAATTTCTCAGTTCTTTTTTTGATAGGCGAAATCATTATTGATAAGTGAAGTCACAAGTAACTGACATTTTTCTTTGTGAAAAATACGTTGAATTTACGCAACAACTAGATGGGGCGAACTAAAAAATTTGCCTTTTCTACATCTGTATAAAGGGCAGAACGTGGAAAGTGAAAAATCTCAAGAGAGGTCAATGAAAATCTTGTTTTTTTCCACAAAGAATAACTTGAGTTCAATAGTTTTTCATGACTAAGAAAGGACTGGATTAAAAATGATATGTTACTACTTTAGTTCTCTAGTTTGGCTTTTTTTATCACTGCTATCATCCATACATTTGAAAAAAAATCACAGCCCGACATTGCGAATCTGATCAATGTTATGGGAATCATCGATATCGTATTTTTGTTGTTTATAAAATAACAGACAAATTTGATTATAAGAGTGTTCTTTCTATATGAATGTGGATAACTGTGATTTTTTTCAATTAGGTTTTTCAGAATTGAATTACTTTTCAGTTATCACGAATGTTACATAACCCTAGAGAAATAATCAAGCTTTCATAATCAAGTAGGTATATAACAACTGACATGTCAAACAGAGAATAGTAAAAGAAAATATGCTAATTTATGTTGTCCTTCCAACCATAACAACTGTATGGTTGCTATATTTCTTTCAAAAAACTTAAATGAATATTGTGATTCGAAACATTTGTATTTAGTTTGTTCATTCAAGATTCGAAAACGACGTACGCCGGAAAAAAAGAACAAATTGATCCATTTTTTGGGATACTGAATCCGAATTTCAGTTTAGTGGCTTAACTAGTCGTTGACTTCACATAAAAAATCGCAAAAAAGGTGAAAACTTTAGGCACTTCCTTCACTTTGTTCATAATTAGAAAGCTCTGCAATTTTGGAAAAGCATCGTTCTATAGAAAATGGTTTGGAGGCTTGTGAATAAAATATGGTTCCAAAAAATCACTCTTCATTATCATCTACTTCCAAAATAAATTATGAGAAATTGGAAGAAATCAATAGCAATGAATACCTTTTGACATGGTAACGTTCAACAGTTTAGTGGAATCAATGATGTGAACCATCATTTAATTGAAAATTAAAAGAGTGATTGGTGATTTCCTCATTGACTTTTGCCAATTCTCCAAAAGTGGCCTATACATATCAGATATTTTAAAATATCATTTCAAGTACATTAACTTGATATTATTACACCACCACAAAGTTAGACGAACATTTTCTCGATTTTTGGTGAGTATCAAGAAGTGTTTTGTTTCCAGGGTGCCCTAATGAGGCAAATATTGTTTGAATTTTTAAGTCGCTATATACATGAGAAAATGTATCTTCTTCAACTTAGTTAGGATGAGGTCCTTCGAAAAGTTTTTAGTTTTTGAATTATTGGTTGAAAAACTGAAAAAACTTTCAATTTTTGTAAATTTTGGATCACCAAACCCGTGGATGATTATCCTTCCTCTGCTTTCATTGCTGCTCTCGCTGTAAGACAACTGGTTGAAACCAGATTTCAAAAACGGAGCATTCATGGTACAACACCAGATAGCGCTGTTATACATCGCATCAGCGGTACTAGGTTGAACCATGAACGTATGGTTGCGTTCAACTGTACCTAAATGAC